TAGGTGCGACATTGCGGGCGTGTGCACATGGGACTTTGACGACTACTAAACACCTTCATGCCCAGTCGGCACGATAAAAGATGGCATCATTGTCGCGCCGTCAGAGGGTATTCGTGAAGCGTTGGCGGCGTTAATTTTTTCGCCCATTGCCACTTGTTGGTCCCACGAATCTTTATTTCACCAGAACAAAGTTTTATGCCGCTGCTGTAAGCCCTGGATGCCAAGCAGGGTTGAGTAAGTTCAGCATGTGTTGGCTGGGCTGTTTTGAATTTTAAAAACTCAACAAATGATTAAGGGTGCTGAGATGATCTCTATCCGAATCGTTGATAATTAATAACGCCTAACCATTTTGTTGTCCGAATCACATCTGTTAAAATGGTAAGGGTATTAATAAGCTACAAACGCTCTGTGGCAGGCCAAGGCACGTGCTCTATGCTCACGGATAAGTTTTACCTCTTCATCTACTAAGGCGGCCGTCTGATGGCTACATTTCAAAGGAAAATTGCAGCGTAATGGTGCGGGCCATTTGCCGACCTGTAAGTTCACCGCACACGATGGTCTGACAGTCATTAAACGTCTGCTTATCCGTTCTTTATCTGGAAGTACATTACTCCATCCGGATTTATTTGAACTTTAGAGTTCAAACATTAACCTGCTTGGGATGGGCAATTCAAGCTCCGTGTAAGCTCCTTCTCCATGGTCCACCACTGCAAAATTCAATAAATCTCTCAAGCATGAGGGAAGGTTATGCAGTTTTGACAGTTGTGAAATTTCAGAGGAAAGTAAACGGACCATTGTAGCTTTTTGTTTGCGAGCCTCCCATCGCACTGTACTAGGTGTAAGAGTATGAGGAGGTGTCAGTGGATGATGAAGCTATTTTGTCACAATTTTTGACAGCGTGACAATGGTCATCAATATATTCGACCCAATTTAATGCGGTACGCGTTTGACGCAGTCCGGTATTTTAAGTGTCAACTGATGCTTGCCCAGCGGACATCTGGGTCACGCTAACGAGCTGGCACGTTTTACTATGGCTGCCTGCGGTGAGGTGTCTGGAAAACTAATGCAACATGTAGGAAGATATCTTTCTCGATTTGGCTACGAGTAGGATGAAACTAATTGACTTGGATCTCACAATTAAGACCCATTAAAAGGCCGCATATATTTACCGCAAGGATAAACTTTTTCATAGATCTTCTGGGACTCGGCGAGTTCCTAAAATGGGAAGCTACGTAACGACAAACTGTGACAAAGGTCAGTAAAATATAAAATATGAAATAGCTTAAGCAGCCTTCCCGAAAAATGCAGCTGGGAACTTGTTAGTTCGTGGCAAAAATTTTGGGACATGCATCTCTTTCACTGTTTGAAGCTGTACATGGGCCGCGTACGGCGACAGGAGTATTTGCTCCAAACCTTCCTTTTCTCCAAAACTCAGTCTCAAGTCGTCTAATTCACTTTGTCCCATGCAATCTGCAAATACGCGACGGGTGTTTGGGCTTACTATTTAGCGATTAACACCACCGTCAAGAAGAAATGAATTCGTTTTTTACCATTCTAGGAGAAACTTCCTAATTCTATTCGCCCGCCAAACCAGTTTGTTATCTAGATCCATTTTTTTCCTAGGCAGAGGATGCTTTTCCAAACTGTATCCAAAGCAGTTGTCGTTGGTGTTGAATCTAATTTGACGTTATAATAATTCCCCCATTCATTTGCCTACTCCGCCTTTGTACTTTTGATCTCGAGTTGTTTTGCTTATTCGTACCTGGCACTCACCTTGACGCGGAGGCCGCCCTTTCCGACACTCGTGTCTGCGTGTGAATGTGCGCTGCTGACCTACTTACCCATGTGCGTTCATGTCCCGTTTGCTGAGCTTGCCTCGACTTATTTTCTCATGGGTCCTGCACGATTGCAGGTCCGATGAGAATCACCAGACCGCCGCCGGAAGGAATGACGAAACCCACGCTACCGGGCCATCATTCTGCTGGCCGTTGTTTGGGGCGCGGAATTCGACACTGCATTGTGCCGGTCAGTGACAGACCTGTGAAGTTGCTGACGCTGCGAACGTAAACAACTGAGGTTTGTTGTACACATTTCTTTACCCTTGTGTAAATAGTACCGTAGAATTACGAACCCAATTCTTCCTTTTGATATTCGGGATTGTTGAACCTACGCTCATTCAAAGTTTCGCATCGGGAACCTCAAAAGTTGGACTGCCAAATTCCTCTGAATGACGAAAAATGAATCCATATCTCATTTGGAGGAGAAGCAGCGAATGCCTTGGGTATCCTCAAACTTGTCCTTCTCACTGCACCATGGGAAATCGGCCCAAAAGGCATTCGCCATTTTACGGATGATTCGGCGCACCTTCTCCCGTATTACTCGCATGGACTTCCGAATACTCTATGAGGCCTACGTCAGACCACTCCTTGAATACACCAACCAAATTCTCTATCCAGTTCACATGAAAGACGTTACCCTCACTGAGCGTGTCCAGCAAGCCGCTACGAAAATGGTAGCCGGCCTTAAATCAGTGGACCATGAAACGCGTCTCGCGGTGCTTGACCTCTTTCCCATGGAGTATTGTCGCCTCCGATGGGGCCTAATTCTTACTTATGCCCTATCTGAGCAAGGCTTGGCTAACAGGTTTTTCACAAAAATTTTCCTCATTTCGGGTAGTAGCCGCTTCAGCGGTTGTCCACGCTCTATCTAGAACCCAGTTCAAAGCACTACTAGGCACTTATTTATGCGAGTCCTCGCGCTGGCAAGCATAGTGCCCCACGTTGAGAACATAAAGAGTAGTGCCACATCCTTTATTCACTTGTGCCTTTCAGGTGAACGACAGCCACTGACCGAAAAGATCAAAATCGACCCGGGAAACTAGGGCAGTTGCCTGGATCCTGTGTGAATCTGTGAATTTGTTAGTGGCCATACCCGAGACACCCTTAATACACTACCCCAAAATTGACATAGTGATTGGTGTCTGAAAAACCTTTTGTACGGTCCATCCGAAGGATCTGATGATAAAAAGTAGTAGCATTTAGAGACGTGACTCTTCGGGACTCACTTTGCCAGTGCGAAGCTTGGACGATGGTCCCCATACCTTCTCTGTGGATGATACTGCAAGAAGCGCAGATAGAACCACGACCAGAGGAACCCGGAAAAATACAGACAGCAGGATGTCCAGCGAACAAATGAAAACAGAGCGAAGAGCAGGTATAGAAGGAACCCCACAATGAACCCATGCCTGGATTTCAAGCCTATGTTCCCATAGCTCAAGAGGAACCTCTCACCATCGAATTGCATTGATACTACCATGATAGCAGCAATAACTGCAGCATTTCCACTCAACACAAGCGATGGAGACCTGTCCAATAAAAATAGAGTGAATGCTGAACTGAGGACGGCCAATGTATTGACAAAGACCAAGAAAGTGATTGCCTCCAACTTGCTCCAGCTATCGCGAATCAGCTTATCTAGCATGAATATTGTTAGAATGGTAAGCCAGTGTGTGACATGCTCATCTGTCGCCAGCCAAAACGTGAATATTTTGGATAACCTCCATGCTGAAAACAGATCCACAGGATATAGTGCAAGTCTAGTAAACCACGTTGGAACGAAATGGGACAGGGTGTAGCCCAGTGTAAGAAGACACATAAGCGACAATGTCCATATGGAAACACGTAATGAACGCCCCGGCCCCTTCATTGGCATACGGGGATCAGATGACAACGGATAAGGCGATGCTGGACAGCGAACCAAAAAGGAATCTCGCAGGCGATTGGTCGTACAATGTCCATATTCAAAAGGGCCCAGTTCAGGTTCACGGAGGATCCAGTATGATAAAGCGCCTGATGGCGACCCACATCGTCCAGTCCTAGTTGTGTCGGAGAGTTACTTCACGGACTACAGGGGCGCCGGTGTCGATGTCTCTGATACCAGGGAATATATTGAGCTGAATACTCGACGAAAAGAAATTTCTCCAGATCATCCTTCGGTATGTTCAACTTTACTTTTCTCTGTTTTCTGAAGATTTGGAGGCTTCCGTGAGACACGCATCATAACCGTCGTAATGTACATAAACTCAGGAAGGCTCGAATAGAACAGCGTACTGTGGGAGGTCTGGAATCTTTCAGTAGATACTGCCGTCTGCAAGTGAAAATAATCGAGGCTGAAAAGACCAAGAGAAATTTACAGCTGGCTTGTCCTTCATAATATTTCCCCTGTTATCCGTGCACATCCAGATCCATACTCACATTTCATGCTGTATGTTATGTTTCCCCAACAGGTCTGGTGCAGAATCGGGAACGTGTCCTCACTCGGTACACCGAAGGGGTCTATTAGGCTGCACCCGAGGCTCCAGGGCATTTTCGTTTCCTGCAGCTTCTCTCGGAAGTTACATTGGATGCTCATGCACCATCTCAGCCATCACAAATTTGCGCCCTCTCCTTAGCAAGGAAAATGGGAGCTAGGTGCCTATGCTAAAACCAGATTAATTCCGCCCCGTTTTGGAGACAGTAGTCTCGATGACAAAAGCTAGGGGAAGGTAAGGTTCGTGATTGTTTTCGACCTCATCATTATCTTGAAAGCAGCTTTCGATGCCACGACAACATTTTCTCTCAATGATGTGCGTAAGTTACAGCTTATTCGTACCCTTAGGTCAACAGTCTTGCAAACTGCAGACCCAAGGCCTCACCCGCGCAATTTTCGCCCACGATTTTAGACGCCAAAATATACAGGCATATCGCAAACAGCTGTGCTACTACTGATGGATGTTAGGTGAGAAGACGCTCGGGTGCATTCTTAAAGGCACTCATCGTGCACGAGCCTCTCATTGAGCGCAATAAACGCTATTAAACGCGCACCCTTGTTGGGTACCTTTGTACAACTTTTCTCTGCAAGCGATTCGCCACTCAATCATCTCACTGTCCACGCCCTTGCCCATACAGGAAAAATTCAACTGAAGTATCTGTTCAGGCAACAAACATCAATCCAACAGTAATTGTGCATCTGCGTTGGGCCTGGTACAAATTAACACCGAAGAAATCTGAGGGACTTGCGTCATTTATTGTACCTGCAAATGCACCAAACCGCCCGAATGCCACACCGTGCCCCCGGCCCATTTGTACCTGATTTATCTCTCGAGGCCCCTTTTAAATACACGTAAAATTTCGGTGTACCTCTATTTCTGTAAGCCTAGTTGATCTGTAGAAAAGGTAAATTTAGGTACGGGTATTCATGATCAACGGGGAAATCATAATGGAACCCATTAGCTACGTGGAAGAATTTGGATCTAGTGGCCGTTTTTGGCCTCAAGTAACAAAAGAACAAAGCAAAATCAAGTGGAAACAGGCTAGAAGAAAGTGATGAAGCTCAGCTTCTAACACAAATAGGCCTATGGTTTATTCGTTTACCTTGCTTAAGAGAACTTATCCCTGTGGCTAGACTTCTAAAAAAGACCAGTGTACCACAAACTGTTTTATTACAGTCAGATCATAATTTCAAGTCCGTCAGTCCTCAGCAGTAAAATCGATTCAACAGTGACCTCAAACCCAGGCGATAAACAAACTGTGTGAGTTGTCAGACCAAGCATGTTCGCGCGTACCTGAATGTGTGCACCAGAGTGGTTCCAGAAACCATATGTAATCACCACAAATTGTGTCAGCTGATCTAACGTGCGCTCCCATGAGCACGGCTGCCTAGTCTCTGATATTTTTAGTGGCCTGGTTCCGTTAGACTAATTTCTTGATTGAAATATAGTTGGTTCGCCTCGGTGCTGATTTCAAGGAGCTTGAAGTTGCAAGCATGGGTGGCGTAAAGGCAGCTGCTTTGATGAATGCCAAGTTCCCGTCGGCTGGTGAGCCACTGTGACACAGACCTTCTGGTCACCTCTCCCACACCATGTGCGATGACTGGCTTCGCAACGTGGGCAGTCCAGCGAATCGACACCTCGAGGCATCCACTTTCTTTGCTCACCTTGCTATCGATGCCATCGTTGCATTAGTCAACGTCTGAAGTCACTGCATCTAGCGTCAGTCAAATGTTAAAGCCATCGGGATTCTTTGGGGTAAGGCAGACTGGCTACCTATTTGCAATAGCGTTTTCGATGAAAGTCACAGGAGAGCTTATTGCAGAGTAAATTTGGGCCAGCGGCTCCTCTGCGTTGTTATGCTGACTGTCATTGAGGGAAAACAAGATGCCACAGATCATCACGCCGATCAGCTATTCAAACGCCGGTTGAAAGATCTCCTGCACAATAAGATGCTGCGCAGTTACGAGCAATTAATGTTGAAGCAACCCTCAAAGACAAGCGTCGTAAGATATAATCGGATAGCAGACCTCTAGTAATCTGTCGACTTTTCGGGAAAACAATGCCATACTAAGAAACCAGACTGTGGTTGAAGGTGTTGACCTTGGAGGCCACAAAACCATCATCAATATATAGTGGTTGTGAGAAGATATTTTACATCCTGTTTGTAATCTACCACTACGATTACTACTTGTTTTAAACAATGCCTGTTTTTATTTATGCGGGAACCTTGTTAAATTACGCTGTGTATCCTCACTTTGTACCTCTGCCTTTGCTGGAGCCCGAGTTAGTGAGCCTTGTCTGTTGTACAGCCCCGTCTTTAAACGCTTATGTCTGCTTCTTCCGTTCTACCCAGTTTCTTCGTGTTTTAATACTTTATTCTGACGCTTTGTTTAGGGGAACATATTATCTCAAAAAACGGGAATACCGTATCCCTCTCATTGGTTTCTTCGAGAAATCAGTCGGGTCACATTGTGTCAGCACGAAACCCTGAGTTAAATAGTTCGAACTGAGGTTTGTCAACAGATGCGTCACATCACAGGTCCACGCCAGCTTCCGTACACCAGTTCAGGCATTGTCGATTCCAAGCAGGATCCAAAAGTTCGCACCAGCTCAAGACGACGTGGCCACAGAATAGTGAGATTCAATTTTCGATTTGAAAGGACTTATGATTTCCAAGTAAGCGAGCGGTTTACCCTCATGTCAAACAATAAATGTGGCAGGTGCACAAAACGGTGAAAGGGACACTGACGTTCCACACAAACGGGAGCTTAGTTATGAGAATGTTTGATCACCAAGATCAATTACTTTCAGTCACAGCAAAAACATTCGTTTATTTCAAAACCGCTGCGTGTCCTGTGAAATACTGCGGGCTAAAAATGTTATTCTGTTTTAACAACATGCCATATTTCGTAATACTTAGACCGTATTTTACGAATTGTGCGTTCAGTCAGTAATCGGCGTTAGGTTTTGTAGCAAACTCGCTACAGATAAGCACAGAAGCGCTAGCATAGGAAATCACTGTGCTGTTTTGCCCCATGGTCTCTCCAAGGAAAGGAGATAGGAAAAAAAGGCAATATTCTGGTTTTTACGCTTAACATGGTAGGTGTTCTCGCACCGTAGGATGAGCATTCGGTATTTGATTGTGGCATTCCGATTCGAATCTCCTCCAGGTTCTGATTACGATTACTTCGCCGCCAGTGAGAAGAATCTAGTAGAAATGCGAACGTTTTGGGTGTAGAATTAGGCAAACGCATCTTAAGGATACGTGAAGGCAAAAAATCTATGGACAAAGTTTATCGTCAACAGTTTTTTTACTGCGCCCCGCTTGCTGCAGGATAGGCAGGGATTACGTGAACATTCCAGATCAAATCAGCACGTAAATTTGCCGCGGATTATGACCAGATGTATCGCCTGTATGCTGTCGCGTTTCCATAAAGGCGGAATTTGTGGAAGAAACCCTGTAAACATGTCGCTTTTCTCTGTTAGAAAAATTTGCCTTTCTGCTCAGTTACAAAAAAGCACTGGATTGAGTCATCTGGTGGCCGTCTTCCCGCAGCTACAAAATAAAAGCAGCTTTCAACGCTGTTCACGCTATGTTCAAGGGAATTCACCGCTCAATTAACATGACACTAGTTCTTTTTGAAGATTTATAATTTTTTGTAGTACATTCATTTCGCCTCCCCATTATTACCATATTCCGCTGTGGATACTCTGTGTGTGCAGTTAGATATAAAGAGGGCCTCCCGTTGAATTCGCGAGTTTTGGTGATAGAAGCCGTAAAACGAGTGCCGGACCCGCTTCATCATCTTATGTGTAGTGACCAGAAGAATTACTGCGGTGAGCGGCCTAGCCTGAAATTCTCGATCATCGGCTTAGTGTACGTGTGATCTGGTGAGCATTTCTGCATGGTTGTGTGAAATACCGCCAATGGTTACCAAATAAACGTTGAAGTACAAGCCTCCTCGAGTTACATACTATGATACGTCTTCTGGAAAACCACCTGAAACTGCAGGAGCCTGTGCAAACTTGTCAAGCTTTGCAAATAAAGAAATCACGGTTTGCCAAGCGAAGGTGAAGACAAACTAACAGAACCACGCGTGTTCAGAAAAGGACACGAGACAAGCCACTCCGCGCACACGTGCTGGTAGGACAGAGCTGTTGCTTCTACAAGGGAAGCCCCCTCAGAGTCTAAGTGGGTCTCTAAACAGAGAAGCTGACTAGCCCTAATGACATTAGCTGACATCCGCTGCTACGAAAGCCAGCTAACTGACGATCTACAGACTACACTTTCGCAGATTTTTCATCTACAAAATCAGTGCAACTAAAGCAGTCTGTTCAGGACTAACAACAAATCTGCTGACAAATGTGAGAGCTTGAAGCATGCTCTCCGTTAATCAGTATTTTTGCGAGTCCACAGAACAATACAGAATCCTCTGATCGTTGTCGGACATACTTTTGGGCGATGGTGCAAATGTTCTTTAGAAGGAGGCCGAATTTCGGATCAACGGAATCATGAAGGTCGAAGAAATTAACCACGGTGTGGCAAAAATGTCGTTCAATCGAAATATGTTCATTGCGCTAATGGGAGTATGCTCACAATTTGAGGCGCTACCATGCCATTGCAGCCTATGCATTCCGGGGGTAGGCATCAGGCCAGAAAAAAAGTTACATCGTGGAGAAGAAAAACCAGAATAGTGAGGTCGGATGGGCGAGAGCCCTTCGGTGAATAATCTCGCTGATTGAAAGCAAGAACAGGAATCATCGTTGCGAATGGGTGACAGTTGTGTTACCGGCCAGAGCCATGAAAATGTTGGAATGAAAACGTTGAGGTGAAGATATTCACTTAAGAAAAGTAGTACAGATTGCTGTCAGTATTTACAAGGCGCAAACGATATCTAGATAAGATGGCTGGTTTGGTTGTCGGAGGGGGGGCAAGAAATAAAGTCCTTCGGGTCAATGAAGCTTTCACAATTCTTGAAACTGAATGGGCTCTATAAAAATCATCAAATTTTGAGGAAGACTGGCTTAGGACGCGGAAGATCACAGAGGTGTCTAAATCCGAGAAAATGTTTTGCCTGGTCAGAAATGATACATGTTCTTAGTGGCTGTTAAGACTAGATAGGCAATCAATTCATTCGGTTGTATTCCTATAGCTTAAGAGTCAGTCTCCAAACTTCGCGCAGTCCAAGCGGAGAAGGTTGGGTACTTTAAAGCAGGTTGACGAAACTGATCACAAGGGTGGATACCGGTAAGGCGGTAACTGCCTTTTGCAAGAATATTTACCTGTAAATTGTGTAGGAAAACCCAGCTCAGCGATCTAACCGTCAAATCAACAACAGGGCAACCACAGTGATATTGAATACAGATAAGGCTCGTGATGAGCATTCGTGGTTAGTGATGAAAGTTTGGAACACGGTAATTAATATTAATTTCATCTTTAACGCAATATCCAGCCACGGCTCTCCGGCCACACAAAAGGTGCTTCCATCAAAATCGTAGCGGAGGAAATGAATCTCTTGCTCAGTGGGCTTGCCAGAAGTGTGGCAGGTATCCTTAAACATATGACTAGGGGAGCAAAGGAAATTAATAATAATAATAATAATAATAATAATAATAATAGTAGGTGCGACATTGCGGGCGTGTGCACATGGGACTTTGACGACTACTAAACACCTTCATGCCCAGTCGGCACGATAAAAGATGGCATCATTGTCGCGCCGTCAGAGGGTATTCGTGAAGCGTTGGCGGCGTTAATTTTTTCGCCCATTGCCACTTGTTGGTCCCACGAATCTTTATTTCACCAGAACAAAGTTTTATGCCGCTGCTGTAAGCCCTGGATGCCAAGCAGGGTTGAGTAAGTTCAGCATGTGTTGGCTGAGCTGTTTTGAATTTTAAAAACTCAACAAATGATTAAGGGTGCTGAGATGATCTCTATCCGAATCGTTGATAATTAATAACGCCTAACCATTTTGTTGTCCGAATCACATCTGTTAAAATGGTAAGGGTATTAATAAGCTACAAACGCTCTGTGGCAGGCCAAGGCACGTGCTCTATGCTCACGGATAAGTTTTACCTCTTCATCTACTAAGGCGGCCGTCTGATGGCTACATTTCAAAGGAAAATTGCAGCGTAATGGTGCGGGCCATTTGCCGACCTGTAAGTTCACCGCACACGATGGTCTGACAGTCATTAAACGTCTGCTTATCCGTTCTTTATCTGGAAGTACATTACTCCATCCGGATTTATTTGAACTTTAGAGTTCAAACATTAACCTGCTTGGGATGGGCAATTCAAGCTCCGTGTAAGCTCCTTCTCCATGGTCCACCACTGCAAAATTCAATAAATCTCTCAAGCATGAGGGAGGGTTATGCAGTTTTGACAGTTGTGAAATTTCAGAGGAAAGTAAACGGACCATTGTAGCTTTTTGTTTGCGAGCCTCCCATCGCACTGTACTAGGTGTAAGAGTATGAGGAGGTGTCAGTGGATGATGAAGCTATTTTGTCACAATTTTTGACAGCGTGACAATGGTCATCAATATATTCGACCCAATTTAATGCGGTACGCGTTTGACGCAGTCCGGTATTTTAAGTGTCAACTGATGCTTGCCCAGCGGACATCTGGGTCACGCTAACGAGCTGGCACGTTTTACTATGGCTGCCTGCGGTGAGGTGTCTGGAAAACTAATGCAACATGTAGGAAGATATCTTTCTCGATTTGGCTACGAGTAGGATGAAACTAATTGACTTGGATCTCACAATTAAGACCCATTAAAAGGCCGCATATATTTACCGCAAGGATAAACTTTTTCATAGATCTTCTGGGACTCGGCGAGTTCCTAAAATGGGAAGCTACGTAACGACAAACTGTGACAAAGGTCAGTAAAATATAAAATATGAAATAGCTTAAGCAGCCTTCCCGAAAAATGCAGCTGGGAACTTGTTAGTTCGTGGCAAAAATTTTGGGACATGCATCTCTTTCACTGTTTGAAGCTGTACATGGGCCGCGTACGGCGACAGGAGTATTTGCTCCAAACCTTCCTTTTCTCCAAAACTCAGTCTCAAGTCGTCTAATTCACTTTGTCCCATGCAATCTGCAAATACGCGACGGGTGTTTGGGCTTACTATTTAGCGATTAACACCACCGTCAAGAAGAAATGAATTCGTTTTTTACCATTCTAGGAGAAACTTCCTAATTCTATTCGCCCGCCAAACCAGTTTGTTATCTAGATCCATTTTTTTCCTAGGCAGAGGATGCTTTTCCAAACTGTATCCAAAGCAGTTGTCGTTGGTGTTGAATCTAATTTGACGTTATAATAATTCCCCCATTCATTTGCCTACTCCGCCTTTGTACTTTTGATCTCGAGTTGTTTTATTCGTACCTACGGCGACAGGAGTATTTGCTCCAAACCTTCCTTTTCTCCAAAACTCAGTCTCAAGTCGTCTAATTCACTTTGTCCCATGCAATCTGCAAATACGCGACGGGTGTTTGGGCTTACTATTTAGCGATTAACACCACCGTCAAGAAGAAATGAATTCGTTTTTTACCATTCTAGGAGAAACTTCCTAATTCTATTCGCCCGCCAAACCAGTTTGTTATCTAGATCCATTTTTTTCCTAGGCAGAGGATGCTTTTCCAAACTGTATCCAAAGCAGTTGTCGTTGGTGTTGAATCTAATTTGACGTTATAATAATTCCCCCATTCATTTGCCTACTCCGCCTTTGTACTTTTGATCTCGAGTTGTTTTGCTTATTCGTACCTGGCACTCACCTTGACGCGGAGGCCGCCCTTTCCGACACTCGTGTCTGCGTGTGAATGTGCGCTGCTGACCTACTTACCCATGTGCGTTCATGTCCCGTTTGCTGAGCTTGCCTCGACTTATTTTCTCATGGGTCCTGCACGATTGCAGGTCCGATGAGAATCACCAGACCGCCGCCGGAAGGAATGACGAAACCCACGCTACCGGGCCATCATTCTGCTGGCCGTTGTTTGGGGCGCGGAATTCGACACTGCATTGTGCCGGTCAGTGACAGACCTGTGAAGTTGCTGACGCTGCGAACGTAAACAACTGAGGTTTGTTGTACACATTTCTTTACCCTTGTGTAAATAGTACCGTAGAATTACGAACCCAATTCTTCCTTTTGATATTCGGGATTGTTGAACCTACGCTCATTCAAAGTTTCGCATCGGGAACCTCAAAAGTTGGACTGCCAAATTCCTCTGAATGACGAAAAATGAATCCATATCTCATTTGGAGGAGAAGCAGCGAATGCCTTGGGTATCCTCAAACTTGTCCTTCTCACTGCACCATGGGAAATCGGCCCAAAAGGCATTCGCCATTTTACGGATGATTCGGCGCACCTTCTCCCGTATTACTCGCATGGACTTCCGAATACTCTATGAGGCCTACGTCAGACCACTCCTTGAATACACCAACCAAATTCTCTATCCAGTTCACATGAAAGACGTTACCCTCACTGAGCGTGTCCAGCAAGCCGCTACGAAAATGGTAGCCGGCCTTAAATCAGTGGACCATGAAACGCGTCTCGCGGTGCTTGACCTCTTTCCCATGGAGTATTGTCGCCTCCGATGGGGCCTAATTCTTACTTATGCCCTATCTGAGCAAGGCTTGGCTAACAGGTTTTTCACAAAAATTTTCCTCATTTCGGGTAGTAGCCGCTTCAGCGGTTGTCCACGCTCTATCTAGAACCCAGTTCAAAGCACTACTAGGCACTTATTTATGCGAGTCCTCGCGCTGGCAAGCATAGTGCCCCACGTTGAGAACATAAAGAGTAGTGCCACATCCTTTATTCACTTGTGCCTTTCAGGTGAACGACAGCCACTGACCGAAAAGATCAAAATCGACCCGGGAAACTAGGGCAGTTGCCTGGATCCTGGGTATCAATCCGTGAATCCGTGAATATTATAATTTTTCTTTATATACTATTGTACTACCTTTAATCGGAGGGGTTGATTTGTGCTTCCGTTCCCGCAACACCATCAACAGTGTGATACACTTAATTTGCCCTAAGACACTAAACGATTTCGAGTACGAAGGCGACACCTTTCACCACCGTTCAACTGCTATTTGATTTGGACTAAAAACTACAGCCTTGCACAAGGTTATTGCGGTATTTTGATCGGTTTGTCTATATCGCTGTTTGCACTAAGAGGCCGTGCTCCGTGGCTCTGAAGCTCTTGAACGAGGCAAGAATGGCTAAAACTTTGATGTGAAGGGACTTTTTGAAGTTTCGACTGGAAAATGTAACTTTTAAGCTCTTCCTAAAACGATGCACCCTATCGGATCGAAGAAAAATGATTATTGAGACTGCAACAGCGTTTTTATGCTTTTGTAGCATTCGCTCTCCGTTTTTGCGTAAGGTGTAACGCTTTTTTAAATATGATCCCCGGTGACCTACACGGTCTCTACATGCGTGAGATGGGAGTGTTGTTGACACAAATCAGTGATACCTAAAGCGCCATTCAGCGACTATGTATAACTAATGAAAATGAAGTCGAAAATGAAGTGTTCATCGTGCAGGTTCAGCTTGTATAAGACGAACTGACGACAAATTGTTTACCAGGTTGTGGTAGTAGCAATTACCTTTGTTGAAGACTCCCCAAAGATGTGATAATCAGTAAATACGGTTGTAGGACGGTTTTTTATGGTTAGATGAGAGTAAAAAAGAATGGTGGCTGAATGGCGGCTATGCAGCCATTTTGAATGCTGAATTTTGGCCTCATAATGATGAAAGCCGCACAAAACCAAATTATTAGAAGCAGCCGAAGATTCGGCTTGTACGAGTACTCGTTAAGATTATTCTGAGGCTAAAGTTGGTACTACCAGAGTGTCGATTTTTCCATCGAGACAATAGTTTACGCGTCACTCCTCTTGCCCCTAAAGTCACACTGCTAATCCGGCGGGTGGTCGTGGACGGTTTCAAGAAATTTTAAGTTTGAACGTTTTACTCCATCAGCGGTTCACTTTATCATGTGCTGTGTGTAGGAGGATTGTGAACCTAATACTTGTCTGTTGTTCGAGACAGTGCTGATGGTTAGCAGATACACTGATGATTCCACTGGTCTTGGAACCAGAACTTAGCCGTGAACTTTATTTTTGCCATCAGAAACTTGAAACTATTGGACGTTGTAATCGTCGTCACAATATTTATCCGTAAAGCCCATAAAAAGGCTGAGGTGGTCCTTTGTATCACGTCACTTCATCCATTTTTCCTTTTTTGTTTGTTGCCTATGTATCTGAACAACCTGCATTCTGAAAAAAGGTTAAGTGGCATTGCTTTTTAACACACATTCTTCCAAAAATGGAAAAACCGGACTTCGTGCACTGCATTTGTTTGTTCTGTTGTGTCTGTGTGAGCCGAAATTAGTGAAATTAGCTGCACGATGAAAATAAATAAATTATGTGGGTTGGATAGTAAGACTACCTATATCGTAATTTTTTGAACACTCATCTGAGTTTCATAGGAACAACTAAGAAAGTGCTGCAACGAGATTGCTGTAAACATACGTTGCCCTTAGACTGACAAGTATTGTTGAGTGACCGTAGCTCATCCTCTGGAATGCGGTAGAAAATGAGTGACAGAAATTACTGTTCATGGGCAGTTTTATAGCAGCGGAACTGGCAGTGAAAAAGATATGTTACGATGGTGGAAGGAGTGCACTCTGCAAAATATGGTTTCCACAGTGGTTTTGCTGAGCCTGGTTTACTGATCAAATTTTCCGAAAATAAACCTGAGATCTGGATCCAAATCTTACACCCTCTCAGACGACCTACGAGAATGTGTTGCAAGACGTGAACGTTCAGCCAAGACACAAAGCCGTATTTAGCGTATCTTGCCCCCAGGGCTTGTGTCACCCGCCTCGTATTGTCCTTGAGTCTGAACCTATTTTAAAAAATAGGACACCGTGACGCAAACGAACAGTTTGTATGTAAATCACGGGATTCAAGCAATCTAGTTGGTGCACTCTACTCGACTCATCGGCTGAACAAACGAACGAATTGTGTGAAAAATTTGTTGAACTCCCTTTTCTTCTGTTAGCGTGGTACCTTCACAAACCGTTTGCAACGCTCTGAAGTAATAAACCAGCTTATGTAAGGCCTTCTTGTAATATGACCACCCGTAATATGCAGCTTACCGCCCACCTTAGACTTTCTGATGTTTTTGCCTTTTGGAGCATAAAGAATCAATTGGCATAAGCCGCAGAATCTGTGCTGTGCCTGAGCTTAATCATCCAGCTGAGGTACGGTTCGGATTCGAACGCGTCCCAAAGTTAATATTTCGTATTTCTGACGATGGTTTGTGTGACGCAAAATATAACTTTATAGACTCGTGGAGTAATATCCCAGGTAGAAAGCGCTTGTAATTGCAACAGAATTGCAACGTAATAATCAATCGACGACAGCTTTCGTTGGATTGAAGCTTATTTATGATTTCTTTGAAAACTGGTGTAGCACGCTGCTAAAGAGATTTAGGATCTCGCTAGGATCACAGCTATTTACCCCATATATTATTGATCTACAACACTTTCGAGACAATGCGTGTTCCCATGGAAGATTTGCAGATCTGCAGATCCTTATAAACGTCGTTAAATTTATTGCTCCTACAGCAACCACTTTGGTTGCAATGGCCAGTGATTGTGTGCTACTTTAATCAGGTAGAAAATCAAAGGTTATCATGGCCTTAGCACTTGGAGGCAAAACAAAATGAAACTCTGGTGCGTAGTAGTTGAGCACATAAAGGGTGCTACGGTTGAACGATATATGTATATATATATATGTATATATAGACGGGTGTTTAGTTTATGGAGCGATCTGTCCCTCCTTATTTAGAGCTCCTCACCGAACGTACTTCTTTCGGACTCTCCAAGACTTGTATACACTGGATGGACTTGGACTGGCGAGTTTTCATTTTTCAGACTGCGAAATTTGGAAATATAAATTCGATCAGTCATCATCTGCAATCATCTGCCGTTGTTATCAGGTAATCTTCCAAATATCAGGTACTTGAATTACAAATGGCCTCTACAATGTGGCCATCATCCGCCATGATCAACCTGCTATGTGTGTTCCGATTGTGGGATATAAGTGTAACTACCTGCGGTTTTGACTAGTAGACCACCAGTTGTTAACTGTGATGCTTGTGTTGCTCTTTACCCTTGAAGATTTATCCTTCAGAACAACTTCTTTTCGGGCGCACCATGATCCATCTGACCGATTTTAGGGGCTTTATTACTGGATGACACTTGCAATGTAGGGTCTCCTACACTTTCACCACTTGCGTGAACATATCTGTGCGGCTGGATTCACACTTTCATTTAAACCCTGCTACTCAACTTACGAGATTGGCATCACGTAAAGTACATCCTCACTTAGATCGCTTTTTGCCAAAAAATAGAATCTGTTCGGTGCCTTCAGTAGCCGTACCTCTGCCAGTAACATCGTAGGGACACTGCTGCAGTGGATAATAGTGAATGAGATTGAATGACGTCGCGCTGTATAAATTTCTTATTTGGATTAATTTACAGGAACCACATAAGTCAGCGCCCTACTTGGTATTCGTCTGTGAATTTGGAGTTCTGATTTAATTCGGAACTATGAGCATGTCTGTAAAATTCTGGAAAAATACCAAGAGTTTTCAAGTTTTACAGTTGCACACTTTCAGAAAAAGTTGCGTTTTAAGGAGTAAGTCGTTTGCTTCGATAGCTGGGCTCATTTAATGGATAGATCTGTACAAGCCAACTTAAGATTTGAGCTGTTTGATCTTATTCTGGCTGCACTTCTGGTGCTTTACAACCCGCATTTCTAGCCATCCGTTACTTATTCTTGCTTCTTCTATTCTATGAGCCCACGACTGCAAGAGATAGAAAGCAGCGGCTTCAATACAGTTTCACACAAGCCATTTTAGCTAAAGATTACTAATAACTACCTGCCTTTGACTAAGTACAAGTGCTATAAAGTACCATCAGACGCAGAGAAAAATACACTTTCATTGTTGTTAGTAAATGGGAATGATTTTCTTAGAAGGAAATTTGCATGGATTCCTTGTTAAGTAGGACAGTGTATGCACTAAGCCGGTCGTTAGATAGGACACTATATGTTTCGTCCAGCCAGGCAAATTTCTTACCATCCGAGTCAGGAGACAGCCAAAATGGACTAGTTCTCCAAGTTTAGAGTACGTGAAACTACGAACGAACTCCTCAAATTGAAGTTAGGATTTGAGATCTTAGAAAATTAACATAGTAAATGGATCCCAGGGCTTTTATCTTGAGAACTAAATTTCGAATCCTCAAATTACCTGCCAGTTGTTATCTTGAAGTGTTGTACGAATGCCGCTGTATCACACTGGAATACGTTTAGATAATAAATCTCAAGTCTAGTGATTATTCCCTACATTTTTTGTCCGGTTTGGGGTGGAGAGGGCAGCCTGCTATCCATTCAGGTCACCAAGGAGAAGCTTTATTGTTCTCGGGATTCGGACGGCAAAAGATAAACCTTCCTTTGAGCATCGAGAAAAACATCAGAATATCTGGGGAAAAATTAATGTCTTGTTTTAGGTTAATTGTAAAAATTTAAAACCCAGCCAATGTGTACCAGCAGGCCTGTTTCTGTTGCAAAGAAAATGAGATGCGTTGTGAGGCGCCTACTCATTAGACTCAGCAACACCTATGTCTATGCTTATCTCAATCCATCGTCAACTATGAATCCTGCATTAAATATTCTGCACTTTCGTCCGTCCGGTAGTCTGATAACAGGGCTAAAGCGTTACGTATTTAAGGAACAAAGGCTGATGAATACTTGCCTTTAAGATGTAGTGAGAAACCAATCCGCACGGTATCGTAATCGACATTTGAGCTCACTTTTTTACCACTGTAGAATCCACGAACCACCTATATGAACGTTTCCAATATAAATTAAACTCACTAAATTCTATTTTGTTCCAGCTTACTGTTCACTAAAAGCTATGAAGCCCAGTTATACGGATGGGGGTTTCCCCCCACCACAGCCACAGCCTTTTCCATATGCCCCACCTGGTAACACACCGACGCTAGAATCTGTGCCTCAAGCCTATCAGTCCTCATCGGTTTATCCACCTCCTGACGGCTCCCAATTTCCTACGGGGCCCTATCCTGCTGCGCCCATTTCCGAAGGTCTACACGGCTTTGGTCCTACTTATAATTCGTACGGCCCAGGTCCTGCTGCACAAGGCCACTATGGTCCTGGCCCAATTCCCCAGGCCCAATACGGTCCTGGCCCCGTTCCCCAAGCCCATTACGGGCCTGTCCCCTTTGCTCAAGGTGCATACGGTCCTGGCCCGGGTCATCGAGGACCACCAGCTGGTGAGATAGGTTAATGTTTGAAATGATGCTGTCACTCTTCATATCTTACTAGCATTACCTTATTTTCAACGACATTGGTGATGAATAGCAATAAATGAAATTTTATTGTAAATCCAGGTTCATCAGAATTCGAGTCACGACTTACTTTCACCTGAGGGCCATTGTCATATGGAGCCATTTCAGGACATTTCAAATACTGTCTGACTCTTTATTGTTTTCCGTACATGTGAAGTAACGACTAATACTGTACATACACATTTACGCATACATGCGTTTTGGAATCCACGCTGCTCCAGGTTAGTTCCTGTTGCCTGAGGCTGACTATTTGTTACGTAGTTATGAGCTGGCTTCACAGTAATATCGGCAGTCGACGTGCTTGAAGTTCCGCAAAACTTATAAAAGACATGGTTACCTTGCATGTTTTCCACAAGACCACCATTCTTAGTGTATCTAAGTTTAAAGAAGATTATTCCATAGTTTCATGCCCCCTTCACTCATTAGCAAACTGCTCTCTCCCATCGGAGTGGTTCATAACCTCAAGTCGGGAACTATGCGAACAGTACATTCAACAACCCGCGTTTAGTAAAATTCCAGGAACGTAGGTGAACGGCCGCTCATGCGCGACCAGGTAAAGTAAATAATCCACCTCCGTTGGCACTTCTTAACATTGGACACATTAAAGGCTCCACACAGTTTCTCCTTCCACGGTTAGATTTATCCCCATACAACCACATTTTTGGACGCTTAGCTGTAGTATACACTACTGCAGTAGGCCATTGGTCCCAAAAGTGGATGCTTTTCCCCAGCTTATCAGTTATCTCATTCAGCTGAGCGTCCAAAGCTGAAATGAACGTCCTTATTTTCTATACAACCCAGTAACTCCTTGTATGGTCTCACAATGCCTCGGTGTGTAAAATCTATCCTTCAACATCCGGATACTTGTCTTTCCTGAAAGGTGGATTTCCAGTGAGACAAACAATATAAAATGACCCAGAGCTATGCTTTTCAATCCTTCTCCTATGCTATTTGTTTGGCAAAGATGAAGACCTTGGGGACAGTCTGAGATTTGTGCTAAAATGTAAAACCTTTCCGGCAGTTGGTATGATCTTCAAATAGATAGCCTTTATAGCCTACAGTTGTTTTTCTCAGATTTGGATGTGCAGCTCAACTTTTCGTTGTTGTACGTACCGCAGTTTTGCGTATGATGTTTTCTCGGTCCATGATTCACCCCCGCTTGCTGAATTCACCACATAGTACAGACACATCACGGCATTTTATGTGCGCTATTAAATAGTACAGTCGGTTGTCATTAGTAGAAATGGACTCACAACGAATAGATTCGGACATTTTGTGGCGGAGCGTACATGGAAGTGCCACTTACTTTGACCGATGAAAACGCTTCTGATCTTTTCCTTTGTTAAATAGAAGAAATCTGTTACACTGGGTAATTCCACCTTAACCTCGGCTTCCATGCACAGTGGGAGAAGTTAGAGAAAAATAGTTCCCAAAAGTGGTTACCAGTAGCCCTTCATATTCAGTAGTAATGCCACTTCTTTTGACAGTATATCACTGAAGCAAGACGTTTGTAGTTGCTCCAAAAACTATTAGACCTTCATGTTATGAACTGGACAACTTTCATCCAATGTGTACAAGAATTCCTACGAGGAATTTCTGAAGATTGTTCACTGTCTAAAGAAAGACTGCAAACTCATTTCAAAGCTTACGTTTCTTGTACATACGTCTACGGTTCACGGACCTTAGAACGCAGAATCTCTTTAAACGAAATTTGAAACATGCCTTGGCTTCTGTACGAAAAAATACTAGGAAAATCACGAATAGTTTAAACTTCAAACACCTAGTTCAGGTTGAGCACCGAGCGAACCACTCAAATATATAAAATTTCTGTGTGCAGAGGGATGTTGGACAGCAAGTACTAACACTACTGAAATCCGTTGCGACTGAGACTCTGGATAGTGAGTTGCACAAACAAAACACCCGGCTTATACAGTCATACAGCCTTGCGCGAAGATCAAAGGGAGTTCATCCAGTCAGCCTGTCCGTGGCATGACTAGTCAGTGTTTCTCTCTGATGACCTGGGCTGTCACTTGGGTTTCACTCGTCATTATCATCGGACATTGTCATGGACTTCGGTCCAACAGGATTGTGTTTATGTTTCCCATTCTCTGTTTGATCTTCCATATCCAGCATAAATACCCTTACAATTACTTTGATTGAGCACGTTCCTGAAGTGACACCATGCATTTGATTGACCTATTCTCCTAGTAAACTGGATGCCTCGACCGGTGGTGTTAGATTGTCCTCCTGGTTTGGAGTATCTCACGCAAATCAACCAGTTACTAGTGAAGCAAAAAAAGGAACTGTTCGAAAGTGAGTTCATGTACATTAAAAACACGCTTTTCTATTTCCCCGATTTTTGTTTTCCACATCCAACCACAAATGCGAGCCATTCGCAGAAACATTTGTGTTTGTGAGAAGCGTCTACCGTCTGTTAGGTGTGGAATGACGTTTTATGTATTGTGACATTATTGTTCGAGTCAAGTTACTACCCATCGATCGGTTCTTTCGGAATTATCCACACGCGGACAAAGTCCTTTACCATATGACGAAGCCAGTTCACCTTAGGTATGGAGCTGTACGAGCACCACAATCACACACTGTAACACCGCAGTATTCGACGAACACTGACTTGTGCGTAACCAGCCGGTGGCTGAACAGATTTAGTGGTGAGTCATCGATACCACCAGAATGTACCAGTGAAAGGAACAAGGCACCCACCGCGGAGTTATTTGTTAGGAAACACCAACTGAGCAGCTACAGACTATTGGACAGGAAAGCAAAACTCTCAGATGAATCTTGTTTATAGAAACTGCATATCCGTCTTCTTGAACACGTCGTCCTGAACTTTACTGGATACTCATTGACCATCACTCAAATGTAGATGAATGCTACAAAGCAGTTCCACAAATGCCGTAGTAAATCCTACTTTCCAATAGACGCAAAGCTGACTTACGAGAAAACATATTACTCGCATGCTTCATCAGTAGCATCCACCGTTGCACCACATTCTCTTATTACTCCAAAGACTTGTTCAAAGACTGCGACTGAGAACATCGTTCCTAGGCAAGATAAATGCCTACTTGTGTATCTAGCCCTCAGTCCAGATTGTGGGATTGATGGAAGCTTTTTGGATGTTAACACCATGCATCTAATGCCCTGTTTTGATGAAATGAATCAATATTCCATGTTTCAAACAGATCTAAGGTCCACTGAATATATACGCGTTAGGTGGAGGCACTTGAAAGTTTATTCAACAGTATGGAAAACCATGATCATTTTTTAATGGCTAGAGATTGTACATTTCGAATGAACCATCTTTTCGTCACCCGAATTTCACAGTGTTGCTGTTTCGGGTTGACTCAATGTTAATCACTGTGCGTTTCACTACAGTTGAAGGTGTTGGATGGTTCGCCGTTGGATAAATGACTCGAACATTAAATTCCGCAATTACCCGTTTATAGGTGCTAACTATTGGTCGTACCATTAAGCTGGCACAGTACCTCCGCCTTGAAGACTTTTCCATAAGAGGAAACATCCCATCTCGTAGATTATTTTAGGGACACAAATTTCGGTTGACTTCAGCACCACCTCTTCCAAGGGAGCGAACACAAAGACCCGAACGAGATGCACTTTTTGGCTGTCTATTCGATCCATTCTGCTCCTTATTAGGAGATAATACAATCATAGGCCCCTGTATTGTCCTGATGAGTTGATTTTTGGATAGCTGATCTGACGTCATAGACACTGTGTGACTTTACTTTTGTGGGCATGAAGAAACTAAGAGGATAATGTGACCTTGGATAAGAACACAACAGCATTTGTCGAAACGTTTCCGTCTGCATTACCGATGGGCAAGAACAATGCTGATCGAATTGATGGAAGAAAAACCACTGGCATCCCACTTAATGTCCAGCTTCCATTGATTAGTATACTTCTCGTCGTAATGTAAGAAGAATTGTTTGTAATGAATTAGCGCGTTTTACGGATTTAGCTAGGTTTAGCAGTACTAAAAACACCTGAAAACGTTAATGACCATTATATATGCCTCCAATGGTTCCACTTTGCATCAACTATGGCATACAAAATATTGAACATCCGGAAGATTAGCTTCAGACGAACCGAAATATTCCATTCATTCTTCAAGAAACCTGATTAAAACGTCTGCGTACAAGTAATATTTCATTACACCGATGCAAGTGTTGTTTTCGGTACATAACGACCCTCAAGGAGTGCCAACCATCTCTCCAAAAGGAAACACCCTGATGAATAATGTATAACTTTCAGGTCACAAGACTTTTCTCTACACCCGTGATGGAAAAGCAACTAGGACATGAAGGTACACTTAAGTGACTCGGTTTGTCTTTCGTTATCTCAGTTAACTCATTCGTAGGCATCATTTACAAATGAGAAAATTTAGCGTAATCTAACCCTTCTAGAGTTACGAAGTTTTACTCTTGGATGTCTAGTTTACAGGTTTGTCAGTAATATACATGACACTATGTATGGACGGGAAGTACCATATGTTTTGGCATCGAATGAATAAAAATGATAGTCCTAAGGTAATGGTGTGGAACAGAGCATCTGCGTTAAACTTTCCCAGGTTTTTCGCACCGATTGCTTTTACGGAGTGACTGTTCACCAGCTGAAAGTAATCATATTGGATCAGTACAGATTTTGGGCTATGATATTGCGTTGTTAGATTGACAATCCTACCTGTACTACACTATGGGGGAGTTGCGCTGAATAGTATCAGGTTGACGGCTAAACTGTTGTTCGAAAGTTTGGTTCATCGGCCAAGTTTGGCTTTTTTTCTGAGTATTTTGAGACTTTTCTTATATCCGATGAATTCGTAACCCAGTTGCTTAAGATAGCACATTAAACCGTGGTCCCGAATTTCGTGGAACTGTCAAGTGTGATTCGCTAGGGGCGGTTGAAATGAAAGTAGTGGGATTTACTGTGATCTTTCGCGTCTGGTTCAGAGTCACTGGTGGCCAGGGGTTACCATGGACAGATAATGCGGTTAGGAAAAGTAAATGGTTTGTACAGAGGGACCGGTTCGTTGATATTCTTTGGGTGGGACTGATATCGAATTTAAGATAGTCCATTCCACAGGTTAAAATTCCTCGGCATATCAGAATGAATGCAGTCTTGTCGATTCACTGTGTCCATACTCTCAAGCTCATTTTGAATTGGCATGGCTAAGAAATCATTGGATTTCACAAGTAACATCCAAAAATTGCTAGACCATACTGGGTATACGAGAGCTACTAGTGTGACGGTATTTCCTACACATTGCTTTCGTCTGATGGTACGAGTCTGGAGAGTGAGCGACTTGAATTGATTTTTCACAGGTGATGAGAGTGCATTAATTGTACTTGTTGCCCTATTAACTGGATTTCGATTCACGTGATTATAAGCCATTGACCTTGAAAATTGCAGACTAAGGACAAAGTATTCTTTCGCTATATTAGTTCTGTCCATAACTACTTATACTTTCAATGAGTGTGATCAGTCCAGTGGTCCGACTGCCCCGAAGTAGAAAAACACAGAAAAGGACGAAGGAATCAAGCGGTTATTGTAACCATTAGGCACATGGTGTATACAGTCCCAAGCAGAACAACACGAGGGACACATGTCAAAGGGCAGTGGTTTAAATGTGAATGCAAGGGAAAACACTTCAGCGGTAGCCCAGGAGTGAAAAAAACGGCTCAGAAGTTACGACGGACAGCGTGAAGAGAACTGCCTGACAGACTTAATACCCACTGAATGCCATCACATGTGTTACCAAAGCTAGTGACTGAAAGAGTTGACTTGATCTCTCTCCACTCTCTTAACCAGAAGTCCCGTTAACAGATTTGTGAAAATTGGCACGGACCATATTTTCAGCCTTTACAACTTTGTTTCTTCATGTACAAATGAGCGATGGACCGTTCATTCGCTAGGTGTGCCTTTCTCACAGTTTTTCTGCCATATTGTAAACATAAACTGCCAATTGACCTTGACCCAGCTTACGGACAATGCTAAGAAAGACCATGTGACTGCCCAAACTCTCCGGCTTTGCACATACAACCTACCGGTTACGTTTGGGAGTGCCCAAGGCTGTGAACGGTGTAGGACTGCGCTCAGTAGCTTATACATTCAGAGGCTGTCGGGGTTGTCAAAGATGAAACGAACTCGGAAAGTCGTAGTAGTAGCCTACTGGTACCATGCTTTCTCCAAAGCGTCTCATTGTAAGCCTACTTTCGTCTTCAAGCCAACTCATCTACAGTGGGCAAGTTTCGTGCCTCACACCTCTTGTCATCGTGGTCCAACGTTTGATTCAGTACATCTTCACATCGGCGATTATCCATGGAATCGTCCGGAGACCATTTTTTGTGAAGTTTCATTTACTTTTTGAAATCTTTCTTATCAGCTAAAAACTGAGTACTGGTTTTTATATTTATCCTTCAACGTTCTCTAAGACTCTCCAAGAGGTCAGCATAAACAAATTTGATCGTAATCTACTTTTGGTGACCATAGTGACACAGCGTTTTGGTTAATGTATGTTAGATTTTATGCATTATGGAATGTCTGTTATTTATCATTAAGGCAAAAAATATTGGTTGATTAAGCCCTGGGGATTTTCTGAGTAGTAAATGGGATGTGAAAAAGATGATGCGAACTGTCTGAATCGATCATAAAATGAGAGCTTATGGGGTTTCGATTCCGAGTTAGAATATATGGTACGATAAGATTTGCGGTGATATGAAGCTGATTAGGACTAACTGAATGACTCTGGAGCAAAAGTTCAAGACATAAGGCCTTATAGCGAGACATTTGGTGTCGGGTGCGCCTCTACGTGAGTACGCAGTGTTTGGGCCAGGTGAAGGTCCCTCATAGACACGTAAACTCACCACAATATTCCGTGTGGTCAGGGCAAAAGGTCCTGTAGGCGAATTATGAACGGTATATAGCTGTGGATTAGTAGTACTTCACTCGTGCAAGGGAATGCAACTCGTGAGGCTGGATATCTGAATGTTTGTTGAAGCAAGGCATTATCAATAACTTTTCGCTTCACTGATGTCAGTTTCGGATAGATCCGAAGCAGAAGGAAATTTCCTGCATATACGAGTTCAATTCATGGCTATTCAAGTTTTAGCCTGTCACCTCCAACGTTCAGCTCGTGAGTTGGCTTAGGGAAATGGCCATAATAGATGTGAATTTAACGTGGCGAAATTCGGTATTATCAGTTCTATGCCTTTAAGGCCAAGATAATTTCTACACATTGATTCATATGAGACCGGAGCCAGGCTAGAATCTTTAACATCTCTTAGATGTTAAAGAAGTCAAAACCAGCGAATCGTACTCTGGATGGGTTCTGATGATTTTCACTCAGGGGCTGAGGTGGTGGTGAAGTTGCCTCAAGACGGAGTGACGTGTAGCCACCTTAGTTGCATTATCCATCCAACAATCAGGTTGTTGTCCATTCTCCGAAAAAAACTCCATTCGCCCACTTCATTGGTTCGCACTCTTGGTTTCAAAACTGCTGCAGATCTTGCCTCATCGCCTAGACTTTCCATAGCTTCCAGCTAATTTTTCCTGTTCTTGAATATCGGGCAAACCTAGAGATTCGTTCCGTGCGACGAAATCTGAGTGCTTGTATTTTGTGTCGGATCGGTTGTTGGGAAACACCATCGTCGAATGAAACACGCTCATTTTCCAGCAAATTGTAAGAGTAAGAGGATGTACAGCTTCAGTTGTGTTAACCCATATGTTTTTGCAAAATTCCGTCGGCCTACATCACCGGTTGAATTTCCACACTTGATTTCACCCGTTTAATCATATTCTTACCCTGTCTATTGTCTTTCAGTAATGACAGATATAGAAACAGCAAATCGCTACGTGATAGTGAATACCATGGGACAGACAGTGTACAATTGCAGTGAAGGCAAGTCTAGTTGAGCCAGCTGATGGTTCGTCAACCGTCTATGAAAGATAAATGACTGATTTTTTGCTTACTGCATACATACCTTTTTCTGGTTTCGTTCTGTTTGTGACAGCACTGATGTTAGGAACTACTGCTATTTACGGGCTCTTATTCCATCCCTGTTTACTGATGAATGAGCATACTTCTGGAGCACCTCTAGGTACTTGACAATAATTTGCGCCAGCTTGTGTGTTGGAGCATACTTTCTACATTGATTCGCTGCCCATATGATTCCAAAGGTGGATGACATAACGAGTGGCAAAGAGTCCGGGTCGTGTTTTGGAGGGGATTATCCACAGCAAGAGCTGTACACTTATTCGAAGGTTCTTTGTTCAGATTAAGTTGGTATATAACTTTTTTACACATTACCATACTGACAGCTATCCGTGTGTAGTCCCTTAACCCGAGAACTTTGTGTTTCCAACTGAAGAACAGTTCATTTTCTTCTAATCGGCCCGCACTTGCTGAAAGTCTAGTTCACTGGGATATCGTATTTTGTTGTTTGGAAAGTGGAAATGTTTGTATGGGTTTACTTTATCCCCATATATTGTTGAGCAGTAAAAGTTTGCCTGTCCTGACGCTGAGGGACACATCAAGACATTCCATTGCTGTCGCACCTCTCAAGAGAAAAGACAAACAATCAATGTGCTTCATGCTCCTTGCTGTCAATCCACCTAGCTTCTTGGGACCAAACGTCAAGTCGTAGCACAGAATCACTGTAACGGCCCTTATTCAAGACGGGCCCTTTCGCCGATGGGTTTCACCCTGGAAGATTAGTCTGTTTGTGCGAGGTTTGCAAGCGTTAAGTAACAACCCCATAGCGTATGAGCGCAGTTACCAGTATTACTAATCGCTGTACAACTGTAGCGGCAGCGAAGTTCCATGTCCGTTGCACAGTTTATGAAGTGATGAAAGCACATGAAATATGTTTGCTTTTTGGGGAAACTTCGCAAAGACATTTACAACTAGCAGTAGACAAACTATTGTCAGTTTCACCCAATTTGTGTGTTTTCCTTTTCCGATCTGTTTATTGATGTCCGCGCACACACACAAAACAATTTTGTTGCTTCCAGGGAGATTCTGGCACAGCTGGCTTGGAGAAGATGAGCAAAGTTAACCTAAGTGGTCACGATATACTTCCGTACTTGAACTATTCGCTACATGAAGTATGCTGAAACTCCTAACAGAGATAAAGTTTTTGTACTGGTTTGGTTCGTCCGCTGTCATGCAACAGTGCGTCAGGTTACTTATGAAAGTGAGTCCTAGTAGGCAAATCTGTAGGTGGTGTTACTTGGTATTAGCCGCGAGAACTTGAGTTTGAAGCTTCCATTCTTTTCTATAAGTAATCTCTGGATCTCCCGTGGTCGATTGTTGGTAGAAAATGCGTGCGAGCAATGGATTATGATCCTTCTGGTTCACAACAGTCAGCAAGCTGAACTGATTTTTGGGGCGATTCAGTGTCATTCTTTTTAATTCCATAGTTTACAGCCTTTCCGTTGTATACCGATCGGTTGATGATAATTCCTCTGCTAAAATACGAGACAGTGTTGCATCACTGTTGCGTTTGGTGAGGTGAACTGACACCGTTGGACGTACTCTATGTGCGCATCCACATGTGCACAACAAGCCGACGTTTGCTCTATTGTTTGTTCGAAGTGCGGCCAGATTAATTTCATTGTTTCTCTCTCCATATCGATCGGCACTTTTAGGCCCACACATTATCGTTTGCCGCATCTACCTAATTCGGAGCACATTGACCTCAGCGACACAGTACGAAATTCAAATCGGTGGGAAGGCAAGCGTTGTCTAAATTAGTTCTCTCCTTCACATAGATCTCATTGTTTATTTTCAGAACATTTGATTAACGTTTTGGTTTTCTTTCGTATGAGTTGTACCTACTGATTTTCGTGGTGCCTCAGGTGCTTCCGAAGTTGGAAAAGCGTTCAACTAAGGTAAGGACATAAGACGGAAATGCATATCCCTGAGAGACCAAGTCTTATCTGCCATCACTGGAAGCATAACAACGGTCAATGGTTCTTGATAATGTCTAATCAAATTGTGGCGCGTGGGGCAGCGGATGAATCGGTTGTTCTTCAGTGTAATCCGCATAGTATCAGCTGAAGGTTAAATGAGATGAGAAACCAAAAACGTACCTGTTTGTATAACACCCCACGCTCATTCTATCACCATTACTGCTTTTCAGAAAAGAGCTACAGGGAGCTTGAGTGACGATACAACGAGGGTATTTGTTGTTGGATGTTTATGCATCTTCACTTCATAATAATGAACGTCTGGATTTAACGCATTTCGGAAACGGCTGCACAAAAGTGCAACAAACCGGTTGAACGGAAACATTTGCAGATTTGATGAGAGATACTGTTTGAATTCTAGTCATTATGGCTTGTTCTGGGGATGAAAGACGATGGGCAGAATTCCCTTCGTTCCACTTTTTGAAAATAGAAAGAATCAGTCTGCAGTCACCTTTTTAACGTTATGCCGTAACCTATCTGACGACGAAGGAGGCGGGCTGTCTGTACAAGCATGAGGGTACGATCCATAGATGATTACAAAGCACGATCGCTGTGTCTGCATCTGTATTTCCGAACAAGAAGAGTCACCAAGATCGTCAGTCAAATTAAATCGGGTTCGTTCATCTTATGAAGGTGATTACCACCAGACGGAATGTACTAAACGTAGCAGTACTGAAACCGAATTAGTGTTAGAATTTCTTCTGTTGATCTCTCCCCTTCCCCAAACAGAGTGCACAGCAATTAGATGAGAGTTGTTTGATGTCTGGTTCCTAAAAGAATTAGTATCAACCCCGTAATAAATGAAAATCCTTTCAGTATTAAAATGAAGGCAGCTTTAAGTGTGCTTTTCGCTCGAGATGTCATAGACTATTTTCCTGATTCTGTGGTGCAAATCTTAACTTTGTCCATCTTTTTGCTTCACACAGAATCAAATTTCTGCGCCCGACAGTGCTGCAGATCTCAGCGTCCTTATACTATGCATGTGCAAGACAACTCGGGCATGGAAGTGATACGTGTCAAGCGGCCATATAAATGTTACTGCTGCTGGGAGTGTCTGAGGTGAGCTTGGTCGGTGCGACTCTTGATGATTTGAGCTTCCTAATCTCATTGGAAGAGACAACTTATTCCACTGCGTTGTTTTCATTAACTGTCCTCTTACTGCAGCTGTATGCAGGTTAGCCGTTTCAGAACGGTCACATGGGACCGCCGCATTCTTGGGTCGTTTGAAGTGTACGGGATTCCCACGGTGGAATGAAATCCAGTTGCCCTGTTGTATCGGAGGCTGTTTTCTGCACCGAAGTGGTACAACTAACTGTTAAATTATCATAAGGTCCATGAAAACTCCAGACAGAAGCATGACCTTATTAAGCACTTTTATTTTCTATTCTAAATAATGAAGAGGAGTTGAGGCATGAGACACTCAGTTGGCTTTTTAGAGCGCTCCTTGTCCCAACATCAAAACAGTTTATAACCTCAAGAAATAAACGTTAGACATAGCCGAACTGTGGAACACTGCATTGCGTCGTTGTCAGACAGCCCAATGGTGAAGCAATCACATGTTTACATATCCCACTTCCGCTCATCTCTTCCTTCGGACGACTACCTCCTAAGACAGGATTAGTCAACTCCAGAAATGTCTCGGTTGAATACTGTCCGAGTACAGAGATCGGTCATCAGATATTCACTAGTAAGACAATCTGATAGCCTTCAGACGTTGTTATAGGACTTGACAGGTGCCTTGGTGGGAAGATGAAATATTCCAAAAAGTTATCTGTTCTTGCCAGAAAAACCAAAACTTAATGCACTTTCGAACTCTCATGGCCCCACGCTGAACCACTTCTAGGTTTCTTTCGAGTTCACGGACCCTCTGTATTTATCCGGGAAGAACATAGACTAAAGCCTTTAAGTTTTACCGGTCCACTTTCGGTTCCCGTTCCCTCGTTAGTTGTGACGGTGTGCGCCATTTTGGCTATTTTAGCGGTCTCACTTGTGACAACCCATCATACCGGGGCGTAATAAGGGTGCTAAGGGACTCGGGAAAGCAGGAGTGAAAGGCCATCTGAATCTTTTTTGGGAAAACATCTTGAGGATCATCAAGCCGATTATCCGGTATCTCGTTCGCCGTGGTGGTCTGAAGCGTATCTGTCGTCCCATCCACGAAGAAACCTGCGTTGTCCAGAGGGTGCTGCTCGAAATCGTTAACCGTGTGCCTTCTTGTTAGTAGTATTACTAAAAGGAGTTGAGTGGATGTTTGTCGCAAGTGTAAACAGCAACACTGTTGTTTCTCATGTGCGCTGTGCACCCACAAAGGGAGCAACAAAGTCTGAAAAGAAGAAAGCTTTAAATCCAGCTTAGCAGTTATGTCATGGGAGTGGTTGGATTATTGCATCCTATGACCACTTGTATATGTATTTTTATAGCACACTGCATAGACCCTTTGGAAAATTATTCTTGAATCTGGTTACCCTGAAAACCTTTTCCCATCAGCTGCTCTGAATGTTGCCAAGACGAGTTGCAGGTCGAGGCCCCAATTGGGCAGCTTGTGGGCTATGTGAAGCAAATACAAGATGGGTGCAACATTCGATACGCAATCAAGGATTCCACTGGCAAACAGGTATTGCGCATTCATGGCCCCTCCTACTGTCACTGTGCCTGTTTTGGAGAAGATATCAACTTCAAGGTTAGTGGTATTCTATCCCTCCTACTAAATCGCTCATCCAAACACTCGTACCATTTTATCGGTTTGGTTCCCATTCTGTTTCCCACTGTTGCACATGAAATGCTGGTTTCAAGGCTCACTGGACTGAACATACCCATCGATTGGATGTTGGCTGATGGTCACGTGAGGTTTGCTGCCATTTGTCTCCGATCCCTTAGGTCTGCAGTGAATATCCCAAATCTGTGGCAATAATTAAACCGTATTTTCCTGCCTGATTGTTTCTCCCCCCTTCTCAGGGAATCAGTATCAGCCCAAGCGGCTTTTGTCGTGCCCGGGTTTTCGTACAAGTCTCTTTCCAGATTGTTTTATGTATCCACTCCACACAAATTTCCTTGTAATGGCAATAGGTTTCGTTTTATGAACCTTCATTTTTCCTGAACTTCCTGCCTCTCCTTTTGGTAAAATGACTTGCGGACTATGTGCCCTTAGATAAATAACATTTAGGATGTGTTTTAAACTTTAGTGCATGCATCCACATCCCATAGTCCTCGAGAGGTTGTTATTCTATCTCCATTTATTCTCAGTCAGTATGGACGATAACTGTTCAGTGGGCTTTTTTGATCACTGATATTTGAAGAGGACTTGAAGACTGGCTATTGTGCCAAGCTCTTTTTCTCGAGTTACAGTGGGTTACAAGATTTTAGCTCCAATATAAGGATAAAGTGCTTAGTTCTCTGGCAGCCCTCTTTTCGCTTATTCGAAGTATACTATATCGCAATGTCAGAATGAGCAAAGAAACGTAGGTTAATACTGCTGAATGGCGCTGTTTCTCAATCAGTAATCGTTATCTTTCTCTAAAAACTATTCAGCCTAACTCTTCATTGCATTCAATTATCTTCCGAGTGTATGGCTAAAAATAGCAGATGGCAACTGAGATTGTAGTCATTCAATTGCTTTACACTAGAAAGTCTTAACAGTTAGCCATAAGGCTGTATCATAAGGCTGCGAGATTGGCAACTTGCTTTAGCAAAATAGGGCCTCAAGAGTTTCCCTCCGTTTGTTTTCGCAAACTAGGTTTGGAATTTCCCGACGCTAAGTCTTAATGCCCTGATGCTGGTACCTGCAAATACAATGACACATACCTGACCTAAACTTGCTGAACAGGTCATCACATGGTGGTATTCGTTCTCATGCTGTCAGCTGTTTTGCTTGTTTGGGTGAACGATTCACACAATCTCTGAGGAATGTACACTAGCAGACACCAGACAAAGCTTGCTATATCGACACGCCTAAATCCGAAATCCAACAGGGAGAGATAATGAATGATCGTTTCACAGTGCAGAAATTGGCTGACGCACACCTCATCGGGGGTGAATCGCCTGTCTGCAAACATGGTGTGTCCATCTGAGGCCAGTTGAAAGGACGTAATTACACTGCAACCCGTGCCATGTGAAGATCCTTCAACTCCTTAGCCGTACCAGAAAACAATGGATCTGCCGCCAATAACAAACTGTCACATATTCAGTACGGTAAATATGGTGAAAAAGGACGAATGGAAGCTGGTCTGACTGGAAAATCTAATGGGAACGATGCAACCAAACAAACTATCCATACTCATGCATGGCGATCGTAGTCTGTCAGGATAATCCAAGGACCAAATCAATTCACGAAGGGAAGATCAGTCGATATATTAATTGCACCGGATAATTGTTTGAGCACGCTGGATAAAGTGCGTGTTTTTTCGCTACCTTCAAACTCCTATTCTGCTGCAGCTTTTCGTTCAGCTTCGTCCGTTGGCCTGGCCGCCACTGTATGGCTTGCCTACTTCCCCTATGTCACACGGCATGCAGTATCATTTTGAACTGTTGTTTTCATCTGACTCTGGAGCAGAAAAACCATATGGCAAATATTCACATGACTTTACGGTGAAAGCATTGTTTTTTTGCCATGATGAAAGGAAGAAGGCCTTCGCCGCGTGGTTATTTATTAGAAAACCCCAAGTAAAGTGTTACTATTGGACAGAGAAGCATAACTCTAATATGCATCTTGTTTATAAAAACCGTTTATCCGTCTTTTCCTCGAACAGGTCTTCCAGAACTATTCTGGATATTCACTGATTGTTTCCCGAATGCAAGCAAATTAGACTTCACAAATTCCGTAATAGATCTCACTTTTCAAGATTTACGAGAAAACATACTACCCGCATACCCCATCAGTAGTATCCACCGTTACAGTGGCAGCTTGCGGTGGTCAAGGCAGCTCTACAGTCAAGACAGATGGATGAATGTTTGAGCGAACATTTTGGCCAAAATCTATGAAAAGGCGATCAGTACTGGCTCTTATGGTGGTGCACGAGAGAACTTATAACAGTATTGTAAATGCAGTTTAAACCAGTCACACCCGTTTTTGCTAATTGAATAGAACAGATTCCATCCTGGGAACACATCGGTGCTAAGTGAATTTATGAAACGCTGTGAACTGGAAGTCCTATAGAGCCGGCGCACGCTGTCTGTGGTTTATACCAGGTAGTAGCTTATCGGTCACAGTGTAAAAAATGTTCCACGTCCATGCCATCTGACGATTCATGACCCTGAACTGTTCTCGGGCAAGTTTTTGGAACACATATTCCGGGAATGTCGTGCTGGTATGGAATTATAGGCAAAAAATACTGTGAGGGTGATTCTGTTGATCGAGTACTTGTGCCATTTTCGACCAGTGATGGATTCTTCCAAAACACGAGGCTTGATCTGTTTACATTGCCTATCCTGGAGACTGTTGAACTACCGACGTTCAAAAAAAAAACTATCGCCTGCTAATCTGTTATCATTTATTTTTGAAGAGCATGGTCACAAGCATAAAAAGTGAATGCAAGCTATGAATGCGAAAGAGTAACAGGAGAATATGGGAGACAAGAGAGAAACGTCTCATTCGAAATCATGCCAACGACAGTGCCAGTAGTACCAACCATTTGTATGGTATGTTGTCTTACTTGGATTGCCCCAATAAGGACTTGACAGCGAATTTTAACTATAGAATATAGGTCCCTAACGCTAGCAAATAGTTCATATCGTCCAGTTGTGTCCGGCTATATTGTAGACATTCCCTACAAGTTCATATATTGCTGCACTGAAGAAACAGCCAAATACCACGAACAACTATCCTAGACTGTCTTAACCGTCTGAGGTTGTAATGATGGCCGATGATTTGTTTCCCGAGCTGGGCAGCTTCGATACAACCACAAGAATCTCGTGGCCGAAAGGTTAGGTGTGTAAACTACTAACTGGGGATCGCTGTACAGTACTTCTAGACTTTTCAGCCTAGAATGGCCTCACTTATAGGGCGAATCCTCCTTTAAAACTTCCAAATATCCTTACACTGCTAACAGATTAAGTCACACAAACCGATTGTTCGCACTGGGCCGGATTACTAACTCAAATGGGAGGATGATCACCATAACTGGTATGTGTTTCAGGAAGTTCACTGCCACTTACGTAATGCAATCTGTACCGGCTGCGCCATTTCGTTACAAGTGCTACGACAAAAATGCTACCACAGAGATCGTGGTAGTGAGTTAGTGTTAGAACAAAAGAATACAGAAAATCGAATTACAAGTGAATAAGCCAAATGATGAGTTTCGGCAGTCCAATGGACCGGTCGAATGAACGAAAGTGTACAATGCCCGTTGCCTTCCTTCTTACTAGAAGTATTCGTTTCTCGCATCAAACCGACCTCGTTTAGAATATTTGACGTTTGGAATTAAAGATACTGGCAAGGGGCGCGGTGTACAGGTCATCTGAAAACCACGCAGAGGCGAATTTCAGAACCGTACAGACCAATCTTTCACTCTAATCCCAGGGAATGGAAACGCACATTTGGTAAACGTACGAAAACCTAACGAACAGTATGGAGCAACATTTTCTTGCTTCAGGCTGATAGGATTGCAATGTAGTGCTTCGACCCTGTGCTAGTAGACGGGATTGAAGCACATGCGAAAAACAAATTGTATCTAATTAAAAGAGGATAAGTTGTGGGTTGGTTCAATGGGTTCAGTGGGATTTTCGCCTAGGATGGCTGCTTACACCACGGCTTTCGGATTACAGGAAACTAAGGCTCCTCTGAGATTTAGTGATACTTAAAACATTTTCTTTCTTTTTATTATGTGCCGCCGCTGTTTAAGATGGCACAGAATCGCAATGCGAAAAAGCCACTAAAACCAAATCGTCTTCTTGAGTCAGTGGCTTTGAAGTTTTGTATTTGCCCCCACTTGCGTGATGAGCCTCACTGTTTACACGTTTCCGGGACCGACATTCTCCTCTATAGAAAGTGTATTTTCTTGTCAGTTATCGGGTAGTTGGTTGTTTTTTGTCCCTTCAGCTGCTTGCAAGCAGCGGTAATAAAATTCAGTACTTTCATGCAATGTGGGAGTGACCGCGTATTGTAGTCGTTAAGATCACTAGCGTGGCACCTGAACCCTGACAACCTAATACATACGTGAGTCTTGATCGTAACGCGTTCTCGTCCCCCAGAAGTCAGTGAAACTGAGTGATTGTTCAGAGTGCATGAAATTGACATAAAAACACGTTCCCACACGCACGGTTTGTGACCACTTTTGATTATTGATAACTGAACCAAACGACATTTCTAAAAAGGGCAACAGTAAAGTGATTTCACAGTCACTGTGACAATGCTTGAGTTGCAACTGCATTCGGTGTTTTGTTTTTACCACAGTTTGGCTAATATTAGTAGTCAGTATTACTAGATATTCTGGAGAACCTTCTGGTCATGTGACGGAACAACGCTGGCCGGCATGCGTTTGTCTGATCTAGTAGACAGATTCAGTGCAAACAAAAGGTACAGAGAACTCTAATAATATTGTTACCTGTGAAATTCCGTACAATTAATAACCGGCGTTTGTACACGGTATGCACATCTTAGATTACTACTTGTGAAAACTAAACATTGGTTGACCATTGTGCTAAAGAATGTTTGAGCTTGCAGATTCGAGCAGCCTGTTAAAAAACAAGTTTAATTTGACCTACTGGTCACTGGAAGTTTTGTAGCACACAGACTGATTTGCACCTAACACTACATTTATCTGAGTGGGCGAGGGTCCAATATTTTTTCAGCAGAATACATAACTAATACATACTACAACCACCAGACATTTTCAAGTCAGTATTTTATGGGATTGCTTCTCTCCGTTATCAGCCTATGGTTACGTCCGAAAATCAGTTAGGTTTGGTTTGTCGAGGTCCGAATACATCGAATACCTTGACGTCCACACGCCCTCTCCTGATTGAAGAGCATAGGTGACGAGGCGACTGAGATTGCATTTTATCGGTTTTAGTGGGGGCAGCTGTGTAGGCGTATGCTGTCACATAAACGGTCTTTTTGGTGTTCTAATCATTTTATAAATCATTCATTCCACGAGGCTTGTGCCCTAAAATTAGGTCGATTCAGAGTACATGCACCACTGATTAGTGATGAAAATGATAAATAAAAGGGGCACCACGGTTCTTTGCGCAACAGAAACTTATTATCTTCGTTTGCGCTACCTGTCCGATCAAGAAGTCTCTTTCACAGAGTGGTCATTTGTAGTCTACTATAGCTGCCTATTTTAGCCGTTGTATCGCGCTTGAGTAGGCTGGACTAACCGAGCCACTTGCGTGAGTTAGTGGTTCCGCTCAAAATCAAAATAATAAGCCAGTCCTTTGTCGTGAATACGTCCCTCTCCCCTAGTTGGTCTGTCATCGGTCCTTACCGTGATAGATTACTTGCCATTATTCCTAATATGGGAGCTTTTGTACAATACTGCTATGTTAACGATCCAAGAGTCCCGGTTGAGCAGCGATTGTGGTGCCAGTTTAATGGGTCTTTGATACCGCCTATGGGAATCAGCAGTACGCCGAAGGACAAAAAAGGCAGTGAAGTTTTTGAATTCATTAATCGAGACTAGCTTGAAGTCTTTTTTCATTACTCTCGTGCTAATATTTCATGTTTGGCTATATTTTTCACATTTGGATTCATAGTGGATTTTTGGCAAATCCTGATCACTTACGTCGCCGTCCATGCTTCAACAGCGAATTCCTTGGCGAATTTTTCTTTATTTTCCAGTTTTATATTACCAATAAGCATTTTATCAAAGCCGGTCAATCTGAAACCTTTTCCTTTTTCTGATCTTCGTGAGCTGGTTCACCAGCCTACGAAGGGTGGAGTTTAGCTTTATCAAATGTTCACCGGCTTTTCTGATTTGTTTCTCGTTACAAGATCCCTACACCTCCCGTAACCTCCAGTGTCTTTTTCGTGTTGTGTCTTGTACTGATTTTTTAACCTCTTTTCATAGGTTCCATGTGTAGGTTCTCTGGATGTCGCACCGCATCAGATGTCATTCAAAACGTCTTTTGTAGATATTTTGTCCCTTGTTTAACCTATACCATGCTCACGATAATTTTACTCGTTCTATTTTGACTTTCCTAACATAGCCTTCAATGTATGTAATCACCTTCACCTTGGAAAATTTAGTCTTCCGCAATGCACATCGAACATCTTTATTCGACAAAAGAGGCAAGCTTGCGCACGCGTCGTCGTGAATAATCTTGATTCACGTACAAAAAATAAATTCTGCTTTCTTTTTATGAAGCATTCTTCTATGATCTGATTTCATCTCGAACCTAAATCAACTCATAACTGAACCTCGCTAACCGATTGGAAGTGACATGCGCGTATCGCTCTTCCATTGCTTTCATGTAAAACCCTTATGGAACGTCCTCTCAACTGTGCCTACACACTCCAGTGGTTCTAACCTTCAAAATATCGAAAAATTAACTGGTACTTAACCTATTGAAGTAGTCTGCCGAGAGGTGAATAAGCTTTTTTGTATGCAAAAAACTGAGCCTGATTATTTGTCCTCACAATTTCACACCACATTTTGTGTATTACAGTGCGACCCCGATGACCTTGCACCGCTCTGCTATCATTTGCCTGATTTGCTGGAACGATGTCTAAAGCTAATTTCTCATATAAGCCGCATTTCCATTCTCACAACAGTGACTGCTTTTATGCTGTTGATTCGTAATTTTGTTTACGTATATCATCTCTGTTAGGTCTCTGATCAACAAGGTTTTGCGTCCAAACTAGGATTTCTTTCAAACGTAATTCCCGTACAAGCATTCATTCTTTTCTTCTCTCGTTAACTCATCACCCCAACATAGCTAAGATCCTAATCCTGACGACCCGTTCAATTTGATTAACTTTCGTGTATACGGCTATGAAATCGTTCGTTGCGAAACATTTTATCGATGAGAAAATGGTGAAATCTGATCACGCATACAGACTTAGTGAGCATATCTACTTACTTATCTGTCTATATTGTTTAACTTTGTTGAGACGAGTCTTGTTCACCGAATGTCTTCTTTCGATAACCTTTCAATTAATGAGCATCATTATTCCGTTGTTAGTTGGGCGAAGATTTTCAAGGTAACACAATCTAAATATGAGAAAGCACCAGTATTATTTCACCAGAGATGCCAATGTAAATTTCTTTACCACAGGTGACAAATGTCGTTCGATTTTGTTAGGCTTTGGCTTTATGGAGCGAAACTACTTCCGATTTCTTTTAAGTCAGTAGTTCATTTAAGCGATGATTTCGGAGGCTCAAGAGAGGAATGAGGTCTCCATATTTTTGAAGCACCAACTGTTGAAGAGTTCAATGTCTGTCCCATTCGTCTAACTTCCAAATGTTCTGACCCTCATCCTTGAGTTTTTATATCGCCGTCGCCTGCCACTTATTTAGTCTCGTGATATTGATGGCAGGAGTGTGTCGTGATAGTATACTCTGTCACTGTAACCTACAGTGTTAACTGTTTGAGATCGATTAGTAATATACTACTCGTATAGGATGGTACTACATCACGCAAGCTATTGGTTATATTTCATTTGTGCATCATGCAAGTCCTGTTCTTCCGTTACATCTGTCCGCGAGGTATACTTGCCAGTGCGTTAACATGACCAAAACGACGCTGTGTTATGTGGCAAACAATCGCCGTTGATCTTATCGCTTTCCTCCAAGCGGAATAGGCTTGTACATACAATGACGAGAAATCAGCTGGTACCCTATCCCTGGAGGACTACGGTCAGCTAAAATGATTTAAGAACTCCCACACATTCAGGGCTGGCTCGGACCCTACACATTCCTTGTTTAACGTTTTATATAGCCGATTTTGATCTAGATGGAATTTGTCAGCTTGCTTGCTTTCGGAAGGTACCTGTGTTGTCTCTCTACGTTTGCATTTTTGTGGTATTTAACTGGTCCGTTGTGCGTGATGTCAAGGTCGTTCTTTTAGATTAACTGTAAGACTACTTTCATGCAAAAAGTTCATCATATTGTGCATTCTCATGGTGATAGATTGGCTGATTTTGGGATGCGTACGCAAAGTTTAACTCACATTCGGTATTTGTTCCACGCTGTACACCTGTTAGTGATGAAAATGAAAACCTACTTGAAACGGTTCGGAGGATTGCGGACTACCGATTTTATCAGCCCGAATTTTGTAAAATGGTAGCAAGCCCAATGCATGTCACAGGTATTACGAGAAGCGCTGAATTAGTTTGCAGATTCTCATCGATATCAGCTGCAAACCATGTACGGTTGCAAAGCAGTGGTAGCTATCACATATTCTCCATAGGATTTTGCTAACTTTGATCTCACACATTTGGTTTCTTTAAAAATAGGTCTGTATGATAAAATAGGACTCACTCACCTCCACAAAGGTACGAACGTGTTCATATATGTAATTCTGTATACTTGTGCATATTGTTCATATGCTTGTCGATGTACATTTGCGAGTCAATTTTTTGTCGCATATGAGCTAAATTAGAGAGAAAGGATTCGTTTGAAAGTTAAAAGTAACACATGCTTCACTGTAATTATCATGAATAGCGTGGAAATTACTACGAGCTTCTCATTAACCGTTATCGTTTTCAAAAATGGAGAGTTCTTGTGACCTGATTACGGACCGTTCTTTCTGTGGATTACCTTTAAACGATACTAATGGCAAAATGCTAGTTACCTCCTTTTTGTTTGACACAACTGGTCATCAAAGAAGCTTGGCGATACGCTGTAAGTGTTGTGGGTTGTCAAGCAGTCCAGTGATCATTACCCTAGCCGTTTACTCGCTGTTATTCACCCGCCTAGGTTATGTCTGCTGACGGAAACACTGAGGTCGGTCGGATTACAAAACAATGGTCTAACATTGTTCAAGAAATGTTCACGGATGCGGACAATTTTGGCATTGCTTTTCCAATGGATTTGGATGTCCGGATCAAAGCAACGCTTATTGGAGCTGTATTTCTAATTGTGAGTGATATTATGAGCCTTCTCATCCTCTTCTTCTTTGGACGCTACTGTAATATGACGATGTGTACTTCTCATGGACGATTTGGAGGGTTCAGACCAAACAATTTTCTACCTAAAATCACTTCTAACTCTTTAGATCAACCGGGTCCTAAATTTGATGCTAATTTTTAATCTGGTCATTCTAACTTTATTCCATAAGTCGTATTTTAATTTCACGGAGTGCACCAGTTCTGAAGACTTGAGTATTGAATTTCTGTGCACGCTGTAAGAAGTATTGGATTTCGTTTATAATGTGGTAAACAAGACCCACGTCAGACTATTCTTTGCGGTGCTATTCGGTGTTACCTCGCGACGTCACAAAGATCGTGTGTATTTCAGCACAGAATAAGGAGTAACTTGAGGGTCGGTGTACTGTCCGTTGATTAGCTGAAAGCGAATCTATGTAATAAATACCAAGTGTTATCTTTTGTTTTGAAGGGCGACAGTGTGCAGTTGAATCAAACATTTAGTACCTACCAAACCTCTACGGTGATTGGTATTGCTCCTTACCCCAAGGACTGGGCTAATATGTGCGCTACTCGGTGAATACGAATTTTCACTCTTGCAATCATCGTGATTTTTCAACTATCTTCTCTCGCATCCTCTTATGAGATGAGTTTATAAGCTAAAGTAACCATCGTGCTGCGTCTCATTGCAACATACTTTTGAGTCTAGTTATCCCTGATTCGTACTGAGCTCGGCATTTACTTTGATATCAGCTCCCATGCCGCTTGCTGAAATTTTATCAATGTTCTTATCATACCTGCTCGACAAGCGAATCAAATTCTCGTGTTTAAGCAAATAAGTACAAACTTTAGGACTGTCTAGAATGCCGTCAGGGTCGAAATTTTGGGTTTACATTCGCTTGGTTTACAAAGATCAGTGGAGAGAAAGGATCATCTGTTTCTGGAATGAATGGACATACAGACCTATCTATTATTTATATACCAAAGAAAAGGTTTGCTTAGTTGAGAGTCAAAGTAAACATCTCCAAGATCGCTATATCCTCCATAACCCGTATTCGCTGATTAGCACACTGATTCAACCGATGTCTTTAATTGAATGAGGTGGATACCGCGTGGAAGACTTAGTAATGACATATTCCGGCATCCAGGACAGGTGCAGTGGTCCTAATGTTTGCATTCTTATAAAACCTGTAAAATGATTTCTATCAGTTACCATCAGTAGCTTGACAGCCGCGCAATTCACCCCGAACGTGGGCATGCTTGGTTTTCAGACCTCCATGAGTCAAAAGTTTCTGTCTCATTTTCAGAATCTAATCTTTTATCTGTCTTCCGTTTCTACAGGACTTTATGTTTTTCGAAGATAATCAACCTCATCGATCAGATGACTAGGAGATGATTTTGGTTTGATTATTTGTTGGCAAATTTGCATTAATCACTGTTTTACCCGATCTCTGCTTTACCGTTCTTTCATCGAACAGTTTGTGATATTCAGGTTAGCTTCTTTGTGCCTCAGCAGTCAAATTTGCAGAAAACCAACCTTAAACGACTTTCTTTTTCGTGTCTGTGATATTATACATCTGTTTTGTACCAAGCGGCTTTTATACATTTGTTTATCACCACTCGTTGCAAGGGACTTGTTGTAGCGTCTACTGCTAATTAGACTATCTGAAATGCCTCAACATGATCCATAAAGGTTAATCGGCGCTTTCTTGTGTTGAAATTGGAAGTGGCGAAAGGGTTGGGGGCAAAACGGTCACGTGGTCACTGTAAGTAATAATAATATTCATCCAGCTGCAACACCCTTTCGTTACCCGAAGGAATCATGGGGGATGAGATACTTCGAGGTTGCCTAAGCTGATATAGAGCAGTCGAGAAGTTGAGGTTGAGTTCGAAATACATACCTTTGGGCCAGTAAGTCAGAGCCTCAATCACTGAGCTATGGCGAGCTCAATTTGGACTTACAGACAGCTGTCCAAATTAATTTAAATGTTGGCCTTTTCCATTCTGGGCATGCACAGTCTGTTTTCAGTATGTCGAAATACCGATAGCACTGGTGCGCCCACAGGTGGTTGGTCAGGTGACCGGGGATTTTTCCAGCGAACTTGTTAATTGGCTTGCAAGTGTTTCTTGTCCGCGCAGCAATGGTATATCATCGACCGGTGACGAAAAGTTTGCAAGTTGACTAACAACCTCGGCGACCCTGATAAACCATTAGCACTTATCTTCTCCAAAGACCGAATCCGGCTCTCCGGTGCTTTTCCAATCAGCTTCTTACAGTGGCATAACGGGTGAGATGTCATTGTAATTCGTTGATTTGGTCGTAATCGGGCGCTAAGGATCCCTCTAAAGCAAATTCCTATAAATTAAGGAATTAGGTAAGCTAAACAATTTAGTATCTTCAATTAATGTCTTTCTGAGGTTTCACAGGGTGATTGGCTTCACTGTCCAGTGAAAATCATCGTGACATTAAAGTAAATTTCTTGCTTGGTCCACAACACCAAAAAGCCTTCAGGTTACGAGAGTGCTATGAATAGTAAGACAACAGGGAAACACTGGATCACATTTTGTGTCGCTGCTTTCCTCCCCAAGATACAAGAAGCCGTATAACGACCTTTGATCAATGGCGTTGTTGTTCATCTTGCATCAACACTTTAGAACGTACCTTCAATCAAACCAAACAGCACTCAACTACAGTGCTCACACTACGTAATGGCTCGCTTGAAGCTCTTTTGGTGTGGACGTGAGTGTGCACAGCATCCACAAGGCCCCTGTATAAAACGACCAGATTCATCCACTAATCCTGAGGTCGTATTACTGGAGAAATACTGCCGATGGTTTGTAGGTAACTGGATTGCTGTTGACTGCACTTTATTGCATAAGGAGAGCCTGTTGCCGAACCTGTTATCGCAACCCCTCTTCAAAGCAATTCACTCCGAACAACAAAATCCTTGGTGTGTTATAATAACTAATATAAATGCCTATTCATTTCTCCTCCTATCTAGAGACCATTTTCATGACAGGTACCTCTGTAGTTCGGTGCAAATTAGTCCAATTTCAGGATGGATGGACCCAATAAGATCTAAATTCAGCGATGTCAGTAGTAGCAAAAATTAGAAACATACATTTATTCCTGATGCTGTGTAGGCTGACTATAGAAGTTGCGTTATGATTGAAAAATAGAAAAGCTTTGCATTGCTTGGCGTTTTAAACATTGTCGTGATGTACTGATTTCACGACAAAAATTTAGCACTTCTGATTACCATCTCTTTTGATTAGTCAAGCGGGCCAAAGGCGGGTAATTTTTGCAATGAGAGTGATTTCTAGCCATTTAAGCATCTGGTTAATCGGCCGCCCAAAGACGGCTCAGTATTTAGACTGAGGGGCAGCATGAAGTGAAACTGTTGCCGCATCCATTGATTATTGCGATCTTACGACTGTCGTTTACTTTGCTGCTTCTCTCGACGAAAATCCGGTAACACGATCAACGAACAAGCAAGTACCATTTGTCATTATTAGGATTCGTTGTCGAGATTCAGTTTTATCGGCACAAGCAATGCATAGTTCGCCCCTTCGATCTGACATTTCGGTAAATCTCTACGAGTTTCAGCGACTCAATCCAAGCTGTCCTTTGCTACTGACCTTCTGTCGGGAGATTCTCCCTGAGCCCTTCAGTTGTCATGTCTTTTGGGATCTCTGTTCCGCTCCCGCTATCAGCCTGTAGAAGTGCATAAAATCAGGTATCCTTTATCTTTATTCCAAATTCAAGTCACGCGTTGTCATTTCCTTTAGTCACTTAAGTTCAATTATTCTATTCTAGTTATTCATTTTTCGATCGGTTTTTTTCTCACATGAACACCAATAGATACGCATATTTACTCCAGTTTCCTCAAGAGGGTGATGAGAGCCCGAACTGTTGGCCTTTCGGTCTGTTCTTGTAACAACGTTAGCAACGGTTACGTAAATCCGGTTAGTGCGCGTTACACAAGGGCTAACCCAGCTATTCGGATAACCTAATTGTATTTGATTTCAAATACAGAGATTGTCGAATAACTTGAATTTGCCTTCCTAAAATTAAAAAGAATAGAATTAACCCAAAATTCATGAAGGACAACAAAACGCATGAACCGTCGTCTTCCGATTGAGCAAATCTTACTGTAACCGATCTGCGTGTTTTATTTGGATGAAAGCTCAACTCCATTCGGACGTATTTAAATGTGCATCGTTTACATATCTTTATCTGTCAGAGTCCAAACGCAGTTACTCCGTCTACCACTTTCTGCAAAGCTCATGAAGGTCAGGGTAAATAATATTGGGTTTGTTCTAGCTGTAGGCCTTCATTATATGATTGTTCAAAGTGGTTGCTAAAGCTAGCTCCATGTTAGTGTCAGAAAACAATTGGTCAAACTAATTTTCTGAGAGCACTAAAGAGTGAAAAAGGTACTGGATATCGAATGTGATTTTACTCGCATACGGGTGAGGACATGAATATAAAAAGCGCCGAGAAAGCAAGACGCAGCTGCGCAGTCTAATAGTGAAGACAAATAAGAGGCGAACCACAGGGTCGTTGCATAGACTAACGAGCTTGTACGAGAGACTTCGCGATGACAGAAGTGGGTAAGAGATAAGCACATGAAGCAGCACGCCTGCCGGGAGTGCAATAACCACTAAACACTTGGAGAACTATCATTTCAGTACACCTTTTTTCACCCATTATCTTCCTGCATCTCGCTATGGGGTCCGTCGTCTTCCAGTTTCTCTATTCCTCCTAGACGGATATAGACGTCTACTCATTAGGCTTAGCCTAGAATGAGGTATGTGTATTTGATGCCCCAAAGTTTAGTTATGGATAAGACTAGATCCCAGGACAGCGTTCCCGAGTTAGGTAGATGATTTTGGTAGCCCAATTATTAGGTATCAATTTGTGGACCAGCGAGGCAAATGAATTCCAGAGTGTCAATGAAGTTTAAATTATACAACCTTAGCCCTCTACAAAATAGCACTTTATCAAAGGGACTAAAACTTGTGAGCAAGTTAATGTATAAAGAACATTGGTGAAGACAAACCCATAGCAGTGTGTCTTAGTAGATTCAGATGTGCCGACTGATGACGTGGTTATAGCGCAACATGGTAAGCTCAGATCAATGCTGTCAATCCTATGAAAAGGGTTAGAAATTCGATAGGCATTTATGCAGGTGGTCTCTAATTGAGATAGGATCTCTAACTGACTCATATGTCAAAGATTTTGTAGAAAATGCGTGGATCTCTTATTTGAACGCTTATTTGATCAAATGGTTGGCGTTTAGCATTTCTGCGATAGTGTCGTCAGGACTATGTGCGACAAGCTGTTGACTGTTGTTTATTGTTTCCAATGCATAAAACAATAAACAATCCATGCGAATTCTGGAGAAACAATTTAGACAGCTTCATACGACTGACCACTCTTCAAAAGATGAAAGGTACGGTGACTCTAAAATCAAAACGAAGGACGATCTTCTATGAGGTGAAGAGACAAACAGAACACGCTTAGTAAACTGTTCTTAGCTGTAAAATCTGCTTCTACCTTGAAGTGTGGTGTATGCTATTCGCTGGTTTTGATTTAATATACTCGGACGTCATAAAGAGTATGACGGTAAGCTGGCATCTCTTTCTAAGTCGGCCTGTTACGACGAAGAAAGCTGATGAGCTCTAGCATAAGGGATTAGATCAAAGACGTTTGGCGCTATACCCCATCTGCATATCTACTTGAACTCTTCTTGTCCATCGCAAACTAGAGAATCTAAGACCAGAGGGTGAAACGAATGGGTAGTTCCAGTGTCATAAGCATGCCACCTGGTGACTCACAATTGTTCAGGGTGGACAACTGAACCTTCAAAATGCACAATACATGCAAAGGATAGTTTGGTACTACCACCACTTTTGAAACGCACACAGTCACATCCGACTGGCTAGCTGGTACTAGCTGTCACACAGTTTGGTCTGTGAAACGGTGATCACAAATCGTCACCTCCAGCATCGTAGGCTCAAGACGCTCACGCTGGATCATGAGTATTTACATGCAGGAAACAGAAAGAAATACTGTCGCACGTAACATAACAAAATACAACATGTTGTAGCAGGATGCATTGCAATGAAACAGAGTGAAATGTGCACAAAGCGAATCTGTGAGGTAGATGCGACCAAACGGGATTCCCTGAAGCCTAGTATGCTAAGGTGGGTCATCAGTAGATTCACAGAACGAAATGTAATACAATACAACCAGCGGCAGTATATCACAATACGGCAACATTGTAAGGTGCTTACAAAATAAACATTTAGCAATATTAACAAGCACAGTCTGGTAACCCGTGCCAAAAACTTTAAGAGGGTTAGCACCCAAGTTTTCTTTGGTGGAAAACACCCAAATTAGGGCAAACATAACAACTACAACAACAAGGTCGTTTCCTAAAGACATCTTCGTGGCAGTGAAGTGATCGATATTGACTGCGCTATCAGTGTAACAGTTGGATGAAGAATTAGATTCGATCGATTTTCGTTTTATGTATAATTATTGGCTTCAACAAACTGATTCTGACCTTAGAAGCCCGTCTTTCTCTTGAACAAGAAGAAATGTTTTTTCTTTGCATTCCAAACTTGGTTATACTGTTGAAGAACGTTGTTCTTTGTTTTGTTGTATGAAGGTATTAAGCAGCAATCATAAAGAGTTG